TCTTACACTTAAATTAACCCATAAATCTTGTCTATATTTAGCCATGTGGCTTGGTACCTTTTCTCAGTTCTGTCTTGTCATCTTGAATCCTCTGTGTCTGGCTGGTGACACCTCTCTGTCCTTCCTCTTTCCAGAATTCTATTTCTGTGCTTATCCCACCCATAATATACTTCCTGCCTGCCTACTGGCCAATCAGCATTTTATTTATCAACCAATCAGAGCAACACACATTCACAGCATACAGAATGACATTCCACAGCACTACCCCTATTCTGTCTAATCAAAAATGAAGGTTTTAACTTTAACATAGTAAAATTACATATGATAAAAGAATTACAATTATAATATCTAGTCTATTTGTATTTGGCAAAGTTAAAGAAAATATTCTATCTATCCTATATTTGTGAGTCTAAAGTTTCATAACTAATTCATCTTTTATCATTACTAAGGAAAACTATAATTATATCTATCTAGTCTTCAACTACATCAAAGACCTCAGAAGGATACAATATTACCTAAATAAACAGGAAGAGCATTGTAAGCAACTTCCAAAAATATAGAATGATAGAGATAGCTGGCTGCTTAGACAGTCACCCAAAGTTCCTTTGTAACATTGGAGCATTTTTTTCAGCTTGTAGGCCTAGTGTCTCAGTTACCTTTCCCTATGTCCTGTAGAATATCTGGCAGTTTCTTCTGCAGTGCAGGAACCTGAAGGACCATCTTGACTTGCAAAGTTCAGTGGTCACCTTCCTATGGGTTCTGCATGTCCAGTTTATCCAACATACTGTCAGTCAGCCAAAGCAAGAGGGCACATCTTTGCTCAGTAGCTAACTTTTGCTACAAAGGAAGCAAACTCTATCATGTGTTTATTCAATGACCATCATCTTTCTTGAAGTATTTGGTGCTACCAGTTGCAGATGTGTCTAATTGTTCAGAAAAGCCTAAGTTTTTAAAACATTTTAAATGTCAAATTCTGTAGGTCTCTGAAGTATTTGAAGATTACCAACCTAATTGAATTATATCTGTGTACACCTAGAAAACTTAACTATAATGAGTATGAGTTTGACTATCCTAGAAGACTAATTATTAATCTGTATTTCTTAATTATTCATAACAATTTCAAATGAGATGCATAAACATAATACCTTAAACAAGAGTAGAAATATATATATGCAGTATAATAAAATTAACTTTAAATTTGTATCAAAAAACTAAAATTCATAGCAATGTAAAACATTTTTAAACAAGTTGTTGCTCTTTAAAAGCAGATTCAATAATCTACCCATTCATCCTATCATATTTATATCCTATATTTCTATATCACATCTCCCTTTCTTCTTTTAGAAAGAGATTGACTATGAAAAATAGCAATTTGTAACCAACAACCTAAACAAAGACACACATCCATAATCCAGTTTTTGGAAATGTGAGTGTAGTGTTCTATGCTACTTCCTGCTGATAGGGGGTGCTGGTAGTCTTATGGGGATCCTGTGAAAATTCGAGATAATGGTCAAGTCCTAGGAAGATCAGCTATAATCTTTGTTGATAGGTACCATCTATTAATGTTCAGGAGGTCTGGCTTGATCAACTCTGATCCATCTTAATTTGGAACAAGTCCATAGCCTCTTGCTTCCTGTGGAAACAAAAGCAGAGCCTCCTTTGCAAAGCAACGTATCCTTAGATCCAAGTTTTGAAATCATGATATCTTTAAAATATATGCATTGGTTTAACTGAGTAGACTTTACAATCATATATCTTTCTGCAGTCAAAAATCCCAAACACAATATAACCCAGACTTTCTGTGTAATATCCATCTTTATGTGGCTTATATTTTCATATTACCTTTTCTGTCTCTTTAAAGACTTTACTTTTTAAAACTTTCTTTATATAACTGTCTATATTCCTTTTTCTCTCCCAAGCCTACATACGTTTTTGCACACACTGTAAACTGCTCAGGGTTTTCCCCATCTGAATCTGTCTTATTGTGTATCTATCACTTTATACTGCAGCATTCCTAGGAGTGAAATGGCAGCTTTGGCTGCTGGCTCCACCCATCTCAGCTTTTCAACATGGCAGAACTATGTTGACTGCCAGCTCGGGGGAAACAATGCTCTCAGCCAACACTGGGAGGCAGTGGGTCATGGGTCTATGCTACCATTTAGAACCGTGTATACCAAAAACGTCTTTTTTTTTTTTTTTCTTTTTTTACTAGCAAAAGCTAAACCCACCATACAGTGCACTCTGTGGCTTGCAGACACCACTGTGTACAGTGGCAGGAATCTGCAACTATGCCTCTTAGCTCACGGTGGCTGATTGCCAGCTCCATCTCACAGCCAGCTATCAGGAGATTTGTGCTGCTGCTGGCATGAGATGGTGAGCTCCAAATGTAATAGGATGTTACCTAACTGTATGCTTTTGGAGCAGTAAATCTGCAATTTTATGAAAAGAATAATTCATTCCAAACAAAGAAGAAAACCACAAAAACACAGTATATCTTCCAATTATTAATTATCCTTAGTGGCCATTCTGAAGAGCCTTCTCTGTGGAACATTTTGGCTAAAGTTCTACCAATGTTAAGTGAAACTTATGAGTAACAAGTAGTTTTATACAATAATATTTGTGCCTTGGAAAATTATTTACCATTATATTTTTTCTTTCTTAAACCATTGATATTTGTACTCTGTTGGCAATGATATTTTTCTGAGCAAAGCTCTGTTTTATAATATATATATATCTATATTTAAGAAATAATAAGGCACTTAAGAAGTCCTACTGGCAAAGTATTAAACACATGCAGTCTAGGAAATGAGGAGCCAGAAATAGGAGATTTAATAGTTGAAGGCTGCCCTGCACTATGTAACAAGTTAAAGGTACTAGCATGTGGTATCTGAGACACTAACCCACAAAAATAAAATTAGCCTTTCATTGAAGTATTGACATTGTCCCATAAAAGTCATTTTCTGAGATGTCTAGAACCAAGGTACAGAGAATTCACTCATTCATTCATTCATGTACCCAGTCACTCATTAATTCATTATATTTGTAGTCTTTCTCACATACTTTGGGAATTATGATACAATTTTTCTGCAAATTCAAAAATTAGTTGTATATAGTTCTTGTTTCAAGGAAAACGGATGATGATCTATCAGTTAAAATTCTGCTCACTTTCATTACTTTCAAATGAGAGACAAAAAGTTCCATGATACAAATAAGGCAAGGGCCAGGCGGTGGTGGAGCACGCCTTTAATCCCAGCACTCGGGAGGCAGAGCCAGGTGGATCTCTGTGAGTTCGAGGCCAGCCTGGGCTACAGAGTGAGTCCCAGGAAAGGTGCAAAGCTACACAGAGAAATTCTGTCTAGAAAAACTAAAAAAAAAAAAATAAGGCAAGGGAATAGAACATGAATGGACAATTTATTTAAAACCTGTGATTATGAAACAACTTTCATGTTTTAGAAAATTTAATTATATAATTAATTACTAATATAAAAGAAAAACATTAAATTAACAGGTTTCTGGCCCATGAAACCTGTGTTCTGATTATAACAATTCAAAAACCATAGTTGGGAGACATTTCAAGAAAATACATTGAGAGTTGAGAATAAAAATTACTAATATATTACCACAATACCAGGAGTATAACTTTACACTGCACTCATGGTATAAGAGCATAACCTGTATTTTAATATACATGTATCAATTCTTGTTATCCATTCAGCATTTATTCTCTGCAGTGCTAGAGAATGAACCCAGGGCCTCTTGCATGCTAGGAGAGTGTTCAAAACCAGAGTCGTAGCCAAAGTCCACAACACATATGTCAAGAATTATTTATTTGTCAACATTTTAGAAGCATGTTTAAGGCCATGGAGACTTCATTGTATAGGTGGTAAGTGGGCACTAGTCATTTATTACAGGGGATTTCTCTGGTGATTCGTGCAATTAAGAACTTAGGCATGTATCATTTGAGGAGGAGAAAACTAGGCATTATTTATGAAGATGCTATTTCACATTGGGTGATCAGGAAAGGCTACATCAATTAATGGTTCCTTTAGGCATAATAGAAAAGTACTGACTATTCATCTACCCAGGTAAATATTATAAGCAAAAGAAAAAGTAAGTTTTGAAGCCTTGCTTCTAGTTCTTACTGCCTAAGGAAAGCAATGCATGTCTCTAGAGGAAAGTGAGTGACAGAGGGTGTAATAATGACAGGGTGGATAGGGAAAATAAGATCTCAATTATCAGGAGGGTAAGATGAATAAGAAGAAGGTTATGAGGAGCAGAGAAACCTGGCATCTCATGAAACATTTTTCTAATTTGTATTTCATACAGTATGTGAAGTCAAAGCTTGCTAATAACAGGAACACCCTTGGACTTGTATCTTGGAATTTTCTTCCCTATGTCTCTGAACCACCTAAAGTATTAATCCACATTCACAGGCAATTGATGTTATTCATGCCAGTCTCTTATTCAATCAAATATTAATGCAAACAATACATTTAATCTCCTACTTTAGCTCTAAATGTAGGACTTAGTTTATTTTCTACCTGCTCTTCCTTAGTTGTCCTGCTACAACTCAACTTTGATGAGTGAAGTCGTTCTGTATGCTGTGAACATATGTTGCTCTGACAGGTTGATAAATAAAGCTGTTTGGCCAATACTGAGGCAGAATAAGTTTAAACAGGAATTCTAACTAGTGAGAAAGGAAGGAGAAAGCCAGAGCAGAGAGACACTGCTAGCCACCACCAGGAGAAGCAAGTTGTAAAGTACCAGTAAACCATAAGCCAGGTGGCAAATTATAGATTTATAGAAATGGGTTAATTTAAGATGTAAGAGATAGCTAGTGAGAAGCCTGAGCCATTAGGCCATATCATTTTTAAATAATATAAGCCTCTGTGTGTTTATTTGGATCCAAGTGGTTGTGGGACTTGTGGGTGAGAGAGATTTGTTATGACTGTGGACCAGGTAGGACACAGGATTTTTATAAGTGGCTGTGGGACCTTGGTGACTGGCTAGCTCAGTTGATAGAGCATGAGACTTTTAATCTCAGGGTTATGGGTTTGAGCCCCATGTTGGGCACCAATTGTAGATGAATTTCTAAATGGTCTTACTAAATAAAACACAGGGCCGGATATATGGGTGAAAGCCTGGGAGAGATCAGAGAAAGCCACCAGCCAACTGTACCTTACCTACTCTGCAGCTTCCAAAAATGAGTTACTTCCTGTCTATCCATGTTTATATGCCTTGCTATTCTGGCATCTGATTTGCTCTCTCTATTCAGTTATATCACTTCCTCTTCCTACACAGCTCTGTCACATTTTGTCTGTCTGTAAAGACCTCCAGACCTCCATGGTTAAGTAGTTTTGGAATTTAAGGCATGTGCCACCACACCCGGCTCTGTTTCCAATGTGGCCTTGAACACACAGATATCCTGCCAAGTGGTAGGATTAAGGACATGTGCTACCATTGCCTGACTTCTTTGTTTACTTAAATGGCTTGCTTTTTCCTCTAATATCCAAGCAAATTTTATTTATTAAAGTAAAAATAAAATATCACCACATTTCAGCACAAATATAATATCACCATACAATTTCATTGTTGATGTGTAACTTAGCATATATAGGCTTTTGTGCTCCACAATCAAATATTCATACCATGAATGGGAAGAGAATTAGACATGTTATAGGGAGACACTAAGGTGGGGCATCATTTGGTATATCAGTTTGCATCCCTCATTATTTTAATTCTTTTTTTTCTTTTTTTTCCCCTGAGACAGGGTTTCTCTGTGTAGTTTTGATGCCTGTCCTGGGACTCACTCTGTATACCAGGATGGCCTCAAACTCACAAAGATAAGCTTGGTTCTGCCTCCTGAGTGCTGGGAATAAAGGCATACATCACTACCACCCAGTAATTTTAATTCTATATACACCAAACAAATATAAAATAGCTAAAAAAGAAAAAAAAAGCCAAGAAAGAAATGAAGGAAGGAATGGTTGTTAAATAATGCAGGTTTGCTTTTATATCTCTATTTACTGGCTTCATTTAATACTTATCAACACTTTATTTTTCTGCTCACAAGAATTTATAAAATACTTCATACAATTTTACATAGTCAGTCTGTTAATATTCATGGGAAACATCACTGTTAGCTAAGGAAATTGCTTAAGAAATTTAAGATATTTCTACAATTGTCAACATACATTGTTTACTCATATTTTAAACAAAGATAGAGTAACTGCACTTATGATCTCTTTTTGTCAGCAAACATGAAACATTTGATTTGCAAAATTAAAGAGTATTGATTTTGAATTAGACAGATGGGGTCTCTAATTATTTCTCAATCTACTTCAATCTGTTTCTAAATTGCTGTCACAATATCAGCATTTCAATTCATATTGCCTTTCTTTTAAGTCTTACTTGAACTCCAGTCCAGAAATAGAAGCTTCTCACTACTTAATTTTGTCCCATATAGAGAAAAATATGAATATCTGAGTAACTAAATAAATTTCCCAGTAGCTTTTGCATATAGAATTATATTAGTTAAGATTGTTCCTACATTTTAGGAAGCTTCTGTTTTACATGGTTGTCATTTAGCTTTCTAAAGGTGTTTTGTATTGATTATTCCTCTATATATTCCCCCTTGTACACTTCCAACATACATATGGAAACAGTTAAAGTAGAGCAACACTATAATGCTGGGACAATTCTCCAACTAGACACCACATGACAACAAATAAAAACAATACCAGAAATGTCTTATGTCTTATTGAGTCGTTGACAGTTCCATAGAACCCCAAAACATTACAAGCTATTGCCATTTCTCTTGGCTACATCTACAAAAATTGACAGTAAGACATTATTGTTGAAGCTACCACATATGTGAATCATAAAACGAGAAATCAAGTGGTGACTGGCATGGAAGCCTCACCCTTACTGGCAAATTTTCATAGTCCTAGCAGGTCCTATGCATACTGCTGGAGGAAAAAAAAAGTCTTTAGTCTTACCTGTTGCAAATCTGTGAGCTACAATAATTACTATCCTGGCAAGACATGTCCATTGTCATAATAGCAGCATGAAAGTTATCAAAATACCCGGCAGCTTTCTTATTGGATTTAAGGCCTAATCCACAAGATAGAAAGTATACCTGGCACCATTATCATACATAAAAGCCTATGGCTACTCAGATCACAGTAGTTATGGAGGAGCCATTTAAAATTATTCTGCTAAATGAACATAGTATTAAAATAACCTTTAATGACTTAGTGGCATATCCATAGATTAGTGCATCTCTCGACTCATCTTCATCAGAGGAGCTGCTTCTTGTAGTTAATAACAACTATCATAGAGACTCACAAGTGGTAAACTTGTAGAGAATCAGATATTGGAGAAATCAAACCCCATTTGGGTTATCTATAACACACTCCTCATTGTTGATGTAATCAACCGTCTTATTAAAATAAAAAACACAGAACCAATGTAAAAGAGAAAGCCGAGGGGTCAGAGCTCAGAGCTAAAATCTTACCTCCTGCAGTGCTCCTACCTCCCTAAAAGAAAGCTACTTCCTGTGTGTCTGTCTTTAAATAGTCTTTCTGTTCTGCCTTCTCATTGGTTGTAAACCCAAACACATGACTGCCTCGTCACTGCCTATAAGTACCGCCCTCCAGGTCTTAAAGGTGTATGTCTCCAATGCTGGCTGTATCCGTGAACACATGGAGATCTATCTACCAAGTGCTGGGATTAAAGGCATGCGCCACCACCACCATGCTCTTGCTATGGCTCTAATAGCTCTGACCCCCAGGCCACTTTATTTATTAACATACAATGAAAATCACATTTCAGTACAAATAAAATACCACCATATTTCCCCTTTTCTATTTTAATAAAAAGAAAAAAGGCAAAAAGTTATAACTAACAAAAGAAAAACTATATACAAAAGTACAATAACTATATACATTATATACAAGTAACAAATACCTAAACGATGTCTAGTTCATTTGTATTTGACAAATCAGAGAAAATAATTCCATTATCTATCCTATTTCAGTAAGTCCAAAATGCATTTAATTCACTTTCTATCCTAATTAATCTTCAACTATAACTAACTAATCTTCAACTTCCTCAGAGACCCAAGAAGGAAATAATATTAGCTAACAAAAATAAAAACAGGAAGTGCATGCAAGCAACTTCCAAAAAATTTGTGAGTTTGTGAGTTGACAGAAATAGCCAGCTGCCTGGACAGTCATCTGAGGTTTCTCCGCAGTGTTGGGGCATCATCTTCAGCCTATAGGCTTAGCGTATCTGGCAGACTCATTTGTGAAATAGGATGTACATAAGGTCAACAGTTCAACCTCACATTGGGTGAGAGCAGTCCATGTACCAGAAACACCTGAATTCCACTGGTGTCTTGTCACGATTCAGGATTTTCAATTCTGGAAATTGTTGACGGTTTTTGAATTCAGCTGTCCATTCTTCTTGCCTGTGTATATATGGCTTCATCTCAGCATTCCTTTCTTCTCCACATCCCTCTATTAAATGCCAGTCTACTATTGAGAGGCGTGAGCTTTCAGCTGCTGTTCCATTGCACAACAGAAATCATCGGCCCACTGCCTGTTCTTGTATAATATGGATGGCTGGTGACCACTCAAAATAATGCCTTCTAATATTTCTCTCAGAAACATGTGCTAGTTTATGATTTGTTTCTGAGATTGGAGGGATGTTAATCTGAGTATTCCATTTCCTCATTTCCAAGGCTCAGGGACCTTCTGAGGAAAGAGGAAGATGAGATTACAAGAACCACGTTGTACATGTCTTCAAGGAAATGACCCTTACACAAGAGGGCATATTCACATATGAATTGAATAATTATAGCAGCTTGTAAAAAACTTGTGTAAGTTTAAGACACAAAGTCCCAGCATGAACATGGTAAGATAATGATGCAATTCTACCTTCATCCTTTCTCTAGCTGAGAAGCTACTGCCACCCCCTAATGTTCCCATGGAGTTCATTTTACATTGGCCCTTTACTCTTGAGTGGGAGGACTTCAGTGTGGTTGATATACCCAGTATGCCCACTTCCCCATTACCTGTGCTGGGATTTTATGTGGTTTAATCTTATGTAGGTCTTTTGTATGCTGTCAGGGTCTATGTGAGTTCATACATATGTCCAGCTTGTTATATTTGGAACATGCTCTGTACGTGGAGCCATCCACCTCCTCCTTTACTTATAATCTTTTTGTTTCCCATTCTGTATAGAACACTGAATTTTTAAAGGTGGGGTATGATAAAGACATCACATTTAAGACCTAGTACTCAAAAGTTGATCACTCCTGGCACATCATTCGAGTGTGTGTCTCTATGTAAATTTCCATCTACTGAAATAAGCTTCTCTCATGAGGGTTCAGTGATGCATTTTTCTAAGGGTAGAGCACTATTTCCTTAGGAGTTATTTTGTTTTATCTTATTGAGAATAAATGAAGTTGGGGGGAAAGTGTTAGGGGTAAATCTTGGAGGAGTTGGGGGGAGAAGTAAATAAGATCAAATAATTTATATGAAATTCTCAAAGAATTAACAATAAGATATTTAGAAAAGAAATCAGCAGCCAATCAGGAATATTACTATATTATTAAAATAAATTGTTTTTCTCATTCACCTTAATGGAAGTAGGAATAAAACTTTAGGCATGAAGAGAATATTTAGTAAGTTCCTGACACAAGATTTGACTCCAATAAAAAGAGTATTTGAGTGTATTTTGCACAGTCATTTTACATACAAATGTTTCAGAGAGTAAGAAAATTTGTTTGACTTTCAGGTTGAATTTCTCACTTGTCGAAGGCAGATGGCCATTCTTTTTTCTTTAGAAAAGATCAATAATTGGGTCAATGGAGAGATGTTTTACAGGATGTAGCAACCAATAACAAATGTTATTTGCCAGTATTTAATTTTCTTTTTATTGAAAACAGACTTTTTCCTAAAATAATATATTCTGATTTCAGTATTCCAGCCCCTACTTAGCCCAGGTCATCCCCATATCCCCTTCCATCCAGATCCACTTCCTTTCTGTCTCTCATTAGGAAACACCTC